AATTTATGAAATCTGTCATGTTACCGTGCAATTGGAGAGGGAACCTCCCACCTCCTACTCCTTAAAGAAATAACTCTTCTGTGTCAGTGTACTTCCATCCCTTGAGAAACTTGTGTCTTAAAAAAGCAAAGTAATTTTAGGAAAAAGGATTTATGTTTTTCAAAAGCCTACGCAGAAAAAAAAGGCACCAAGTATTGCTTTTAGGTAAGTTCCCCGCTTCTGTAAGGAAACAATGTAACAATCACCCTCTTCACTGGGCTGGTGTCTTATCTATAATGGAAATTCTTATTTTTAACATAAAAGATACATTCTGCTTCCTGGATTTCCAGAAAATACTACTTCAAATGCATACTGTGAATATTTAAATAAATGAGAAAACAGTTGTTCCTGTCTTTCAGCCATTTCTGCTTTAAATATTTTCATGAAACTTTAGTCAATTGAAGTCCTTTTTTCTGCTTTGGGACCCCAGTAGAATTTTTTGATCCTTGAAAATGCTCCTCCCTTTAAATATGGACAGCTTTTGTTTATCCGTGAATAGATGATCTGAGTTGCAGATTCTTTCTGCAATACACGGTAGTTTGATCAGAGCAGTGTAGGTGTGTATGACTTTGACAGCTGTCAATTCAGAAGCAGCATCAGTTTTGTGTGCCACAAGGCTGGAGCTCAAAATTTGTGCTGGACCTGTGCTTGACCTGGGAGCGCTCAGAAATGTGGGATAATAAATTTCTAGGTGAGTAACAATAAAGTAAATATACACAGGGATGTGTACAATGCTGCACATAGGCTCCTCTGAAAACCAGTGTCCTGGGAAGGATGTTACAAGGACAATTCAATCCAGCTTGATGGAATTGGATTTCTTTGTATGAACTCTGCATTATCTCACTTATTAACCAAAATTTCCTATCACGTAGGCTGTGCCCCTTGCCCTGGATTAGAGACTGCACTGGATTTGATGAGCCATGGAGGTCACATGGATATTTACAGGAGAGGGGATGGGATGTGGCAGCCCATTCAAACTCATCCTTTCTTAGAGATTATTTTGCTTGATAGCAAGTCTTTTCATTCTAGTGAATGTTTGCCCAGGAAATCTTCCAGTGAGACCAAGCTGCAGTTTACTTTTAAAATATTTCACGTATTCTGTTTTTCATATGGAATGGAATTTCTGGTATCTTCCAAAAGTGTATGTAAATTTTTGCATATTTTACAGTGCGTGAGCTGATATGCAGTTTAGTATTGTAAGCATAAAAAAATACAGGAGTATCTTGTATTTCTTGAAGTATTTCAGCTGATGAAAATAATGTCATAGTTAGTCTTGAATACTCCAGAGGGTTTGAATGTATTTTTTTTCTCAGCTGACCCAAATGGAAGAAAAGCAAGTAGGTTACTAGTTAAAGTACAGGTTGTTTTCTCTGTGGTGTGCACGCACAGTAGTAAAGCAGTGGAGATACATATTTAAGTAATTTCTTAAAAAGCTTGTGTTGAAACATGCTGCTTAGAACAGTTAACAAGATTGCTTTAAAAAAAAAGTAATTGAATTCATATAAAAGAAGTATTTTAAAACTCTAAAAGTAGAGGAAGATAATGCAATGGTCAGAATATGTGGTCTGTTTATGGTTATCATTGCTTTTACAAGAAGATGTCAACATAAAAAACAAAGATGCAATTTGTGGCTTTCCCCCCCCCCCATATGTAAAATTCAGCCAGTATTTTGTTTCATGCAAGTTGATATATAGTATAGTTGTATTGTATTTAGTGTAGCTTTATCCATTTTAATGTCAAATACTATTGCCACAGATGCCATAACTGGGGGTTGGGCAGCTGTATGGGAAACTTTAGAAGTGACCAAAGCCTCTGTGAGCAATTTGGAAAAGATGTGCTACTATGGCTCTGTAATTTTTTTCTGGTAGAGAAAAATATGGCTCCATGGCCTTGATGGGCATGTGCTTTGTTTTTGGCCTGTGTCTGTGCAGTAGATCCAATGGGCCAGGTTTGTGCACACAAACTGACCTCTGAGCCAGCCCAACACAGCAGGGCTCAGCGGGTCCCTTAGGTGCACTCACGGGTGTTGGAACACTTGTGACAAAATAATATTCTAGATAATTACGTGGCCATGCTAAAATAATTGAAGTTTCTTCTCTGCCTTCTGTTTTCTGTCATCTTTATGAAATTTTCAATAGCTATTTGTATTCTCTGATTAACCAGGAAAAAAAACAACTTCTAGAAGTAGACCTTAAATGCAGTACTCAGTGTGGCAATACACTGCATCTATGTGCATTGAGGGCAGCTATCATTGAGCCTCAAACAGAGCTATAAATTTATTCTGGATCTAAAGTGTAAGAGATTGAAACGTTTTACTTTTTTGCCATTCACTAGCTCTAATCTTATTGAGGTGTTGTAGATGCCAGGTTTTCCATTGTGTCAGGAAACTGTGTATACATGGGTTGTTAAAGTAAAGAAGAAAAACTGTGTGGGAAATAATTCTTGATAGTATGTAATATGGAAAGTATTACAAAAGTGCTATTAGACTGATTTGTGCTTCCTGACCTTTATACAACTTTGTATCCCATTTCCTGGTAGTGACAGATATGAATTCATTATGCTCTATGGTAATATAGAATATTTCAGGTTTTAGAATTTTCATCCTTTCACTGTGGTTCAGATTTATTTCATCTCACTGATTTAACTCATTTGAAGTTGGCGACTGGATGCTAACTGGGTAATTCTTATTTACCTTCTCCTCTTAAACCATTTTCTACTTAGAAAACTCTTCCTTCACTTCTAGTCCACTCCTCTTTTGGGAAATTTGGATTCAACTCCTTCCACTTTAGATAATCATTTTTATGCCTGCACATTTTCAGACAAACTGAAGGGCAGCTGCTAGTTTCCCTGTATGGATGCAGCCTCTCAATTGAGATTGTTATGTTTTCTGTGTTGTATCTTGGCTTTAATAACCTTCAGCACATTGATTTTCAGATACTATGAACAACTACACAGCCCAGCAGTTCATGCAACATGCTTTGTGTTTCTTCCTTTTCATAAACTTGACTAAACAGTCCTTTCCCTACCAGCGTGATTTTGATCTGTACTACATTTTTTAGATTTAAAATTTGCCTTCAGTTTTTCTCAAGTAAAAAATTAATTGTATTTGAAATTTTTTTCCTCCTCTAAATACAGCAGAGGTATAAAAGGTCAAGGACAGTGTTGTTTTTTGCACTGAGTGCCACAGGTGTTGTGGCTTGTCTAAGTCATGTTCAGCCACATCTGAATGGGAATCAATGGAGAAACCTTTACCAGTGTTTTATTTTGATTAATAATAGTTATTATAGTTATAACGCAATCCTGGATATCTCACCACTGTGCATGTTGGCTGTTAAGAATCCCAGTGAAATATTAATTTTCTACTATATAAAGTGATAGTTTTCAATGAGAAAATGGGATACAAAAATCATTCTACTATGTAAATGTACACTAATATAGAAAATTCTTAAGTCCACAAACATGCTGAGAAATACCATGGAGTTAGGAAACAGCAGTAACATCTGTAAATATCTGTGAATAAGGTGATAGATCTGTCACAATATGTGTGACAGCAGCAGACATTGCATTAGATGTGCCATGTATCCACTCTATTGCCTATTAGGTTTTGCATTTAACTTTGTACTGATTTAAATGTATTTATAAAAATTATTTTGCATAAGTACTTCATACATTATTAATTATTATTAAGAAACTAATATTTTGATACATGTGATTGGATCCTGCTGTAAAAGAAAGAAAGAGAAGCCAAATAAACTGTGTTGCCTGTGACTAAAAGTAATGCCTAAAGGTAGCAATTAATTTGGAACCCAGCTAATGTGATTAAGGCATGAAAATACTTTCAGATTATCTTTTCTGCTAAGTAATAGGCATGGCCTGATTAAATAAAAAGAAGTGAGAACATCTGTAAAAATTTCAGAGGTCTGCAGGGTGTAACCCTCTCTATTATGTGAGCCTACAAAAATGCCTGGAACCACAATACTTCGAATACTTTTGGTACCTTTTAGTAGTGCTACTGTGAAAACACACACTAACTAGTCAATAGATACATGTCAAGCTTGCTATGTAAAATTTCAGTTTTCCATTGTAGAATAGCCTAATTGGCTCTTTCAAATTAAGTAAGATTGAGAAGATGTGCATAATGTGCTGTTCTATTTGATAGTGTAGACTTTTGTTTTAGGCAGTTGGTTCTTGAAAATGATGTGCAGCTCTTAGATGTACTGCACTATTGTGTATCATTCTAGAAAATTCTTAAATTGTGCCTCTCTAGGCAGAGCCACTACAGGGACCAGCTGTGAAAATCACTTTCTGGTCCTTGCTTGCTGAGGTTTTGGACACAGCAGGATTGCTGTTTATAGGTGCATGATTTCAGATTGCTTAGCTCATAGAGATGAGATGTTGTCAATGAAAACATTTCAATTTAATAGTTTCTTGGCAATCAGTGTTTAACCTTTAGTCTCTCCTAACTAGCCTGAATTCTGAATCTGCTTTGATGTTACTGGAATGTTTGAGCAGAACAATTTTGCTACTTTCACTATTTACACAAAACTCAGAGGTGTATAAGTGTATATCTGGTTTGTGTTTATGGAGATGAGGTCTGAGTGGAAGGGACACAGAAAAGGCAATCACACAGCTCTATGTGATAAAACAAAAAGTTCTGGCTTTCTTTTAGTCTCTGGCTGAGTGAAAGTATAGAAAGTTCTTCAGAGGGCAGTGTTGGTAAGGAGCACAGAGGATGCCATCTAAAGAGATTAATTATTAAAGTAGAAATAGGTTGAGCCCTCTTTCCCTTTCTCTCATGGCTGGCTGGAAAGAAACAATGAATGTTGCCTTTTGTGCCAGTAGGTTTATTTTAATAGGATCAATTTTATCAATGTGAAATTGAATTCAGTTGATGATGACAGTCTCTTACTCTCAGCTGAAAACCCATAAATGGCCATGAAAGACAGCAATATAAAATTTAGATAATTTCTGCAGCTCTTCTATTATGATAAAGTATGTATAATTGGTTATATTTTCTATATATTTGTCTATAAATAGATTATTATTCAGTCTTTTAAAAAATAATTATAAATACTGGGAAAATAAAAGGTCATGTCCCTTCATGACTGTTTAATTAATTGGCCTCTAGCAGTTTATTCCCTAGACACTGCTGCTGCCTGACTGAGGCACTGAAGCCTACTTCTTCCAATAAAACATCTGAATTAAACAAAGTTCATTTGCTGCCCTTCAATTACTGTGATGAACCTATTTGCTTCTTTCTCTATGTCACAGTGACAGTTGTTACAGGCCTGTTGTATAAATACTTCATATCACGGATTTTTAAAATAGAAGAACGAGTGTCTGTACAAAAATAATGAGCAATGGTATTAGGAGCAAAGAGAAGAGTACAGTTCAAGGGAAACCATGAAGGCAGAGTTGCTGTGCTGGGGTCTCTGGTTGCTTTTGTTTCCTCATAATGTGTTATATTAGGTAAGGGTTATGTTTTCTCAAGTCATGTACGGGTTTGGTATGTACAAGCATCAACACCAAGATGTTAATTCAAAGGATTTCCTATCCTACCGATGTGTCTGTTACAAGTGAGATACAAGAACTTTTTGATTTGTTTGAACAGGTGAATTTAAAGAAGTTCTTGGAGGAAGAAGAAAAAAAAAGAAACTGAAACCCTTGTTATACATGATGTGTTTATAGCTCCTGTGCCTGTGTACATAAAACCTTGTATTTCTGACTAGGTTTTATATTGCATAAATGTGCAACTTAGTTGAGAGTATCCATTAAATGTTTGCAATAGTGTCTTAACTGATGGGTAACACAAATTATCTCCTTGCTGAGTTAGGCTAGTTAGCTGTTTCTCATCTTGAGAAAGTATCCATTTTTATAATTACATTTGGATTTATATATTTTTAGATCTAAGTTTTAATTGCATACATATATAAATATACAGACACTGATGGTGCTTCCTTTTTTGTGTTGGATATGGGGATATGGTTTGGATATATCTAGCAACTTTTTTGCTTATATTTTCAATTTTGTATTAACCAGCAAAGTAGAGCTAGTTTTAATGCTAGTTTCAACTTTCTGCAATGAAATCTTTTTAGCTTACAAAAAAACCCCAACCAAATAAAAAATTTTAATAGCTTCATTTAAAGACTTAGAATGGAAGCCTGGAAATGAGAAGGCTCTGGAGATTTCTTAGAGGCTCTTCCAGTACCTAAAGGGGTATGCAAGAAAACTGGAGATGGAATTAATTCTTACAAGAGCATGTGGTGATAGAACATAGGAAAATGACTTTAAACTTAAACAGAGTAGTTTATATAAAAGGAGGAAGTTCTTCATTATGTGGCTGGTGAGGCACTGTCACAGGTGACCCAGAGAAGCTGTGGATGCCCCATCCCTGAAACCCCATCAAGGGCAGGTTGGATGGGGCTTTGAGCAACCTGGTCTAGTGATGGATGTCCCTGCTTGTGGGAGGGTGGTTGGAATGAGAGAATCTTTAGGGTCTCTTCCAACCCAAACCATTTTATGGAATATGGATTTATATTAATGATATACAGAGCTGTTCAGCCAGTTGGTGGAGAATTTGCTGTAAGGTAAATGTGCTTGTCGTGCACTTTGCAATATAAAAAAGGCAGGTAAATATTAAAATTATTTTTAGCTTTTTTTCTGGTTTTAGAGATATTCATTTGCACAATAGAGGTAATTTATAATCTTTAGACTTTAGTTCGTGCAAGTCAGGAAATGCTGTTGAATGCATCACAAATATAGGTGTGACTGATTTATTTTTAATTTGATAAAGAGTTGTTTAATTATGGAGTGGATAACTTCCATTTCGGGGATTTAGGAAGTCCATTAGGAGGATACCAGATACCTGGCTGAGGAGGATATTTGGAAGGTTGATGACAATTGAGATCTTACATATTGGAAATAGGTGTCAGTTTCCTAAATGAGAATGCGAGTGCATCAGTGTCTCCGTCTTTCCTTTGGAAAAAGTTGTGCATTAAAGGCAACAAATGGAGGAAGTGCCTTTCCTGTGTGTAGGGAGATTGTCATAATAGTAAATTGCATTATTTCTAAATAATGGAAGTATTTGTGCACACAGACTTTTGAGGAATCTTGTACATATTGTGGGTACCAACCAATTTGAATATTACCTCACTTTTCACTGTGATTAAAATCCAGAAGTGATCGTCACCCAAATATGTCAACACCTGGTGTTTGATTTGCTAGTGTCAAACTACTGGGTCAAATTTAGGTCACTGTTTTTGGTAGCCCTTGCCAGTAGGTTACAAAACTGTCTTCTTTGACACTGATAAAGCCTCTCTTACCTACGAACCTGGTCCGTGAGATCTGGAGAAGTTCCCTTTTGCAGCTTGGCGTTGATGGGAGGTCTGAAGTGCCGTGACCATTTCGGTGGGGTGATGCAGCTGACGCCTGCCCGAAGGCAGAGCAGCCCCACGGTTCACCAGCCTGCTCTGCTGCACTGGCTCAGCATTCTGGCTGTGTGCTGCCCATGCCAGGCCCTGCTGCTGCCTCCTCCCCGGGATTACACGATGATGAAATCCCCGTGGCGCGTCCAACTCGAGGGAGAGACAACGCGAGGGAGGTGTCACGCTGTTCCTCATAAGCAGCTGTGAGTTTCCACCGCTGGCCACAGCTGGCCACAGGACTCTTGGCTGGATGGACTTTGAGTCTGGTCTGGTAGTTCTTGGGCTTCTAATGTGCAGGAAGCCAAGGAGCTCACTCGAGACTCTGGCTGCTGCCAGGCTTTTGCAGCCTCAGCTTTGCCTTCGTAGAGCAAACCCACAAGGTCCTGGAAAAACAGCAGGACGCTTGCTGGCAAATCTAATAATATCTTTCAGAAAACTGTGTCCAGCATGCCAAATACTATAAATATGCTGTAAATACGAGGTTCCAACTCCTCTGTCCTTTTCTTTTGGTTTTTCAAATGCCACTGTTGCTCATGAAGAGAATGAAAATGAATGAGAACACAATGAAACAAATTGCAGCTCTAGAGGAACACACTCATCTGGGACCAGCAGGCGGAATTTTCAAAATAGAAATACAGACAAATGATCTCTAATGAAAAAAATGACATAAAAATAATATTATCACTTTACAATTTTCTGTTTTCTGCGAGGGGTTGGATTTTTTTTAATTTTTTTTTTAATGTGGAAATGCCGAATTCTTGCATTTCATTCAGTGTTTTAAATGCAGTTAACAGTTTATGCCTGGCCCAGTTCATAGAAAACTCATGCATCAATAATGTGGGATTTTCATGCACTTGGAAGAATCCATTCTATGTGCTTCCAACAGAAAGCAACCTCTTTAGTATGTACAATATGTTCATTAAATACCTTTCCTTGTTTATACAAGTGCTCATGTCTCCATTATTCATTCAAGCAGAAACTAACACAAAATGTGGCACATCTGCTGTAGCACGTAAAAGTTACTATAGAAAAGAAAAAGACTTTTACTTAGGAGGAAGTAATTCTACTCACTTAAGAGGAATTCTGCTGCATGTTTTTTTCCATAGCTGGAATGTCATCTAATTTCTGACGGATATCAGGTGACATTAGAGTCCTACATTTGTTTTAAAAACAGGGGGAGGGGTATTTTCTCTAATTCAAAGCTGAGAATTTTTGAGTTAATGCATTGGTGATGCTTTCAGTGGAGGGGTGGCTGGAACTCGGGGGCTGTCTGGGGCTCGGTGCTGTACCCTTACTAAGGCACTTGGCAGTGTTTTCTGTTGAGCCAGATAGTGTTTATTTTATACTTGCAAAAAGGAGCAGTTTTGAGAATTAAAACTGACCAAGGCATTTGCCTGGATTCACGTGTTTGCTCCATATTGTGCAATGATGGCAGTTCCCTGTCACAAGTCATCTGCTTGCTGGTCTCTCGGCCGCTCTCCATCTCTCCTATTTCCTTCAAAACCACTAAGAAACTGATTTCTTTTATTAGTGTTGAATGCGAAAATAATACCAAGCCTTCAGTTTTCATGAAATTGAAATGTTTTCTGGCCCTTCCTATTATTACAATATTGGTTATCACTACTGAGAAGAGCTTCCCTAATACGGTGTCCACGAGGATATGCTTTTTATTAAAATAGTGACATCTAGTTTCATACTCTCAGAAAAACTGGAGTATAATTTTGCAGAAACTCTTTTAAAGTTTAAGAGTGAGGACTTTGATCTTCCTGCATACTTAGAAAGATAGCTGCATCTTAGAGGAATACTTCTCCATCCAGGTTTTATGAGGTAACATCTTATCTTGGTCTCTGTGTGCTGGAGACATCTGAAAAGATCTGAGTGATTTGGAAATTGACACTGGCTCCTTGATACTGGCAAAAGTCTTATAATTCCCAGGGAGTTAATTTGGGAGGGCACAGGATACCAAAGGATCACGTACAAGTAAGTGGATGTCCAGCCTCTCAGCAAAAGGCTCCTGTGCTTGTTAAAGATTATTTGCTGCAGGTAGAGCAGTGTAAAAGCCTTCTTACTGGAGTGGACAGTTCTTTGCCCTAGTTCATGCTGCAACAATTGCTATAGGCATTTAGATAAACCACTAAAGTTTTGCATTATCTTTGAGACATGATTTATTCCTTTCTTTTTGGGGATATGATTAGGTAAATTGAGAAACTCATTGTGTAAATGCAGCTTTAAAATAACACTCTGCTTTGCCATTCCATTATGTATATCTGCTGTCAACAGTTTATTTTTTTTTAATGGGAGTTTCTGAAAGGTTTGGAAGTTTTCTACATCCTGATACTTTAATGGAGACTGTAGATGAAATATAATCCTCATCTATTCATAACCAGTCAAAAATAAACAATTTTTTCAAGCCATTAGAGCATACAGAGGAAAAGTTCATGAACCAATCATTTGGGGCTTTTGGCAGACCATACGGAACTTTTCTAACAGCTATTTATAAGGTCCTAATGTGTTTATTTTCACAATAAATCTGACTTATTGCTGAATG